CCGAATGTTCTTATCATTCCGACCTATCTTTCCGGTCGATCATCCGATCCCAACCTGGTACACATTTTCTAGGTGCGGTACGCAATATCCGAGTGCGATTTTTACTGTCGGGATTTTTTTGTCGGGATTATGACCTGCCGGGGTTGTGCTTGTCAGGATTTTGATCGGCACCCTTTGATATGTATTTATATCAGGCAATTCAAGATTATGATTTTTAAGTCGTCATTTGCTAATTGATTACGACATGATCACAAATAAATAAAAAGAAATAAATCTATGATCATAAGATAAAATAATTTATTTGGATTTAGTAATGGTTTGTTGTTCTTGATAATTTATGGCTTTTGTTTTTTTAAAAAAAAAAAACTGATTAATAAATCTCTCCTAAAAAAGAAAGTAAAATAAGACGAAAAAGTTAATACAAAAAAATCAAAAAAAGAAAAAGTAAATTTTTAAAACTCGAAAGTTTCAAAGTGATTATGAAATCAAAGGATCAAGATCAATTACTGTACCTTCACATGTTACACCTAAATCTTGCGAATTTTTCGGGATATTCATGGAGTAATACTTCGTTTGGTTTTCATGTTATATGAAATTATGGGTACCGTTTAGAAAAGTTATAAGATATAAATACACTCATTTCAACAATTTTTTTTTTGCATCAAATATTTAGCAATTTGTCATATAATTATGAAAAATATATTTTTTTTAATAAATTTATTGATTATTTTTATATTTCTTTCAACAGTTCATGCACAACGAGAAGCGTTGGCAAAATTATGGGGAGTTCAAGATGACGATCTACCCAGGCTATTAAACATTGAGAAAAATCTGAGAATGGTGGATGGAATTGTAAGACGACATCTGGATGATTCAGATTTTGGAGGAAGTTGGATAGATGTAAAGAAGGATAAAGTATTTATTAATGCGGTAGACCCTAGTAAAGGCGAAAAACTAAAATCCATACCAGAGATAGAACCATATGCAAGATTTTTAGAAATTGAAACAGCACCTAATTCTCTAGCCAATTTAAGTTCATCGTTTGAACAAATACTTCAATTAGCTAAAAACACGAAAGCAATTGACGTTTATCTTTACGTTAATATAAGTATGAATAATGTTGTTGTATATTTAGAACAAATTGAACATGATCCAAAAAATCAAGAGTTCATAAATGCTATCAAAAAATTTGAGCCGAAATTTATTTATCAACCGCCTGAACAACAACAACATACTAAGAAACGTCAGCCTGGAATTATGGGTCCAACGTGTTTTTGTGGAGATGGTGTTTATAGAAAAGCTGGACAGTATCTATGTTCAGTGGGGTTTTTTGCAAGAGATAAAAAAGATCCAAATCCATCAAAAATTTATATTGTAACTGCAGGGCATTGTCGTAATCCCGATAAATTTGGTTCAAACCTTTTTTATTATTGTCCATGGTATTCAAGACCTAAGAATATAATCGGACGAATGGTAAATTATAGTGTAGAAAATTATGATTATGGCTTAATCGAATACAGAGCATTCACTATCAAACCAAGACCGCTTATAAAAAATTCCGAATCTGAACAATATAAGGAATTACCTATACATGATACTATATCAGTATCTAGTAATGGTGCACATTTATGTAAAGTTGGTTACGAATCACATGTTACTTGTGGGTATGTACATGCATTTGATGGGATTTTTATAGATTCTGAGAGCTTTGCAACCGAATTGATCATCACAGATATAGTAGCCG